GATGATTTCTGACCAGAATCTCCACAAACAGGGGAAGTTTTTCTTCCCCCAGACTCTCTCTCTTACCTCCATGGTCTGGGATTTCTGAGGGGCAGCATTAGCAGTAAAGATTGCAGCAAAAAAGGCACTCTGCCTTTTCAGTGTCCTCCGTAAGTGGGATATCCATCTCATTCAGCAGTGGACCCACATTTTCCCAGGTCTTCCTTTTGCTACTGACATACTTAAAGAAGTCTGTCTTTTTGTCCTTGACTCCCTCACTAAATTTAATACCAAGTGGGCCTCAGCCTTCCTCACTGCAATTCTGCACACCCTGACAATGTTCCCACATTCCTTCCAACTGACCAGACCCCCTTTCCACATCCCATAGACTATCTTCTTCCACTGAAATTTTTCCACGAGCTCATCCATGTGTGTCCCTACCACCTTTGCTTGATTTCTAATTCTTAGGGATGCATCGATCTTGAGCTTGGAAGAAGTGGTGCTAGAATGTCAACCAACTCTCTTGCGCTCCCTTACCATCCGATGCTCTAACCCATGGGATACCTCCACATAGGTCCTTGAAGAGGTCACAGTTTGCTCTCCTGAAGCCCAGGATTGCAAACTGCTACTTTCAGCTGTCTGTAGAAGGCCTCACCAACTTCCTCCTCTTGATCAGGAGGTCTGAAGTAAACACCCACAGACACAGCAGTGTCACACATATCAGCCTGCCCCTTAATCCTCACCCATAAGCTTTCCAGTAGTTCATCATTCATCTCCTGGCAGAGCTCAATACCAGTTGTTCTCTCACACAAAGAGCAATTCCACTATCTCTTATTGGCCTGTCTTTCTTAAAAAGTACATAGCCATCTATGACAGCATTCCAGTTACGCAAGTTGTCCTACCATGTCTCTGTGATCACAATGAGATCAAGGTCTTGCAACTGCACATGGCTCTCTATTTTTTCCTGCTTATTTGCCACACTGTGCACATCGGTACACAGTCGCTTCAGAGAAGAACAAGGAGCTGAGGATGCAGGTTTCCCTAGAGAAATGCAGGAGCATTACCCATAGCTATACACATCATTGAAGTGACTGTTCTTCAGGCTCATTTCACGGGAGGCAGCTAAGGAACATGTATCACAGTTCTGATTGGGTTGGCTCATTCTCCAGTTGTGAGCATGCCATGAGAATTGCATTTTTGATCCCACTCCCACAGTCCTTCAGTTTAAAGCTCACCTTACATTGTTAGCTAGCCTGCTGCCAAAGGTTGTCCTGCCCCTTCTAGGCAGGTGGATCCCACCCTTCCCTAACAGGTTATAATCTTCACAGAAAGTCCCACTGTCGTAAGAAACAAAAGCTTCTTGCACCAACCACATATCCAGGAGTTGATATGCATTATAAGTCTATTTTTGGCTGCCCTCTTTCCTCCAGCTGGTAAAATTAAGTTAACTAGGGCACTAATGTTCTTCACATGTGTTGCCAGGGCTTTATAGTCTTCTTTGATTCTGCCTATGTTCCGGTTTCCATTGCCATTCATGGCCACATGAAAGAGCAGTAGCGGACAGTAGTTCCATGCTCTTGACAAGCCGTGGCACTCCCTTGGCAATTTCTCGGATCTTGGCTCCTGGGCAGCAGCAGGCCTCTCCACACAGCCATGTCAGGCAAGCAGAGGGGAGCGAGCCTCAGTGCCTTTAAAAAGGGAGTCACCTACTACAAGCAAGGGCTTGCTCTGTTTTCAGGGACAAACTCTAGACTGTAAGTATGAACACCCAATGCCAGATTTTCAGGCCACTACAAGCAAAAAGATCGTTCTTCAGTTTACAGGTTTCTCTTCCTGCTCTTGCCTTCCAACACCATAGTCTCCCTTTCCCATTACAGCCCTAATAAAGGCAGGAACTTGGTGTCACGTTACAGGCCAGAATAGGATTACCTTTTGCCTGAATTAGTATTGCTACCACCTATTTGAGCAAAAAGTTAGGGGATTTCTGGCAAGGGCATCTATGAAAGGTGACTCTTTGAGATCATAAATCTTGCTTTGAACTTCAGGATCCTCCCTTTAGGTAAGTCAAGCAGTAGACTCTTGGTAGGAGGGAAAGAAACCAGCTGGGAGCCCATTCAAGGTTTAATATTAGCTAAAGCACTCCCATTCTGCTCTGGGCAATCTCCATACAGAACAGATCTAAAGGGAAGCTGACAGCTGGAGAAGCTTTCTCCTCACATCCTCAGAGCAACTGTGTGCAGCCACAGACCATCCTGCTCACCAAGAGACATAGTAACATTTCCTGTCTTCTGTACAGCACAGCAGCCAGGACCATGTAGTTTGAGGTCTCAACTAATGACAGGAATGAAAATGGATGAAAATTTGCATAGATACCAGAGAACCCTGAAAGAGTGGACATACAGATATCAAAACCATGGGCAGAAAAAAATTAGACCCAGGACACACAGCTTCACCGTAACTGTCATGGAGAATATTAGATTACAATTATATTGCAAGAAGAAACATTGAGGAGTAGTAACACTGATTCATTGTGGTGGCAGATGACAAATTTTGAAGCTGGTGAGGCAACTTGCAGACAGACTAAACCAACATGGAGCATTGGCTACATTCACAAAGGACTGGGGAAGTTACCTGTTTCTAAAAGCGGCTCGTTGAGAGATGGGTAAGAATTAAAGACCAATGACAGTGACAAAGTGGCTGCAGGGTCTGATAAACTAAGGAGATGAAAAGAACAAATAACAGTGGCGAGGAAAAGAAGTGATACCTGGGTGAAAAGCACAGAGAGCCATAAAAGAGGGAAAAAAAGATAGGGTAGTAAAATACACAGTTATAACCAGGAGTAGTTGGGTGAAACTGGACAAATGAAAATATGGACCAAATATTTTCCCAACCATGGGAACTGTCAGACCATGAAACAGACTCCAAAAGGAAGAAGTGGAAGCCCTGTTATCTAACTAACTTAAAACTAGCGTGGATGGATCAATCACGTGCTGTAAATATCCTACCAGTGGGGATGTGGAGTGGATGACCTAACAGGCCCTTTCCATCTCTAATTTCTACATTTAACATAAGGAATCACAAAACTCCCTTGCCATGAGGTACAGAATAATGACTCAGCACTTGGGGAAAGCCAGTGGTATTCATGCAGGATGAAAGGGAAAATGTCATACAGTGATGAAGCAGAGAGAATAATAGCAGAGAGAGCTGCAACATAAAAGCAATCAAGATGCAATGACTCTTCTGCAGCAGTGCAGTCCTGTAGAGCAGAGCAGGGTAGATAAGATTTCTTTGTTATTGAATTGGCCCTGTATTAAAAAGTCTTCAGTTGCTAAGCTGAGAGAGAATATTATTTTCCTTTTCTAAAAGAGATTCCTGGACTGCTTAAAATGAAGCTGTAACAAGCTGCAAGAGAGCACACCGAGTTAGTTTGTGCTGGTTTGCAAAACGGCCTGTGGCAGGCTGTCCCAGAATCCTGCTGGCAGATCCTAGCAGCCTCCCGTCCTGGGCAAGCAGGTGTCTTTCTCACCACATCTGTGATGAAGGCTGGGACTGAAGAGCAGGAGATATCCACACAAACAGCAGGAACAAGGGGGGGTTGGGGGAGAGGTATGACCTCACACGTGGCCCCAAACACACTGTATGGGATGTAAAATGTCTGTTGTAAGTGTAATGAAAAATCAGTGGT